ACTCGGATGTTTGGATATGTTTGGATGAGAATTCCAAATCCAAAACATATATGGGCGTCACTGTGTTGCTCCTATCGAGTTTGCATTCACGTCGGACTCCATGATCATTTTGGCTTGGGCTTGAGCTCTTTTAAAGCCACTCCTCTGCAGCTCTCTGTGTGGCAAAACTTGCAACATGGCTCGCTCTGCCTCACGTGTGCTCGCTTGCGTGCTCTTGGCCCTTGCCTGCTCGGCGATGCTTTGCTTTGTGGGCACCACTCCCAGTCCTGCTGGAAGCACTCCGCTGAAGCAGTCTTTGCGGGCACCGGCCGTGCAGATGGAGGCACGAGGTGGTGGTGAGGGTGCCCTTGGCGACATGAGTCCCGACACCTACATCATTGGCATCACCGTGCTTGGGATCGCATCCTTGTTTGCCAACATCAGCGGCTTCTTCAACCCATGAGAAGACCGGGGTAGAGAATGGCAGCGGCCATAATATGTAGGTTTTTAGTATCTTTGCATTGTTTACATCGCTTCGATCTGCCTGACAGAGCAGAGGATTGTGCGAATTGGTGCACAAATAGTGTCTCTGAGGGAACAGATGGGGACGGGCGGGACAGGCATGAGCATGTTTTCCTTTCTGACATGTCCCTCTTGCAGTGGGTCCCGGGTTCAGTGTATGTTTGTTTGAACTCCAAAGGATTCAGCCAAAGGAATCAATCGCATTTGAGGAACAAGAGAGTTGGACTACATTTGACTATGTAAGGTTTGATCACATGTGAGCACCGAAGGATGTGAGATACTCGGATGTTTGGATATGTTTGGAATTGTTTGGATGAGAATTCCAAATCCAAAACATATATGGGCGTCACTGTGTTGCTCCTATCGAGTTTGCATTCACGTCGGACTCCGTGATCATTTTGGCTTGGGCTTGAGCTCTTTTAAAGCCACTCCTGTGCAGCTCTCTGTGTGGCAAAACTTGCAACATGGCTCGCTCTGCCTCACGTGTGCTCGCTTGCGTGCTCTTGGCCCTTGCTTGCTCGGCGATGCTTTGCTTTGTGGGCACCACTCCCAGTCCTGCTGCTGGAAGCACTCCGCTGAAGCAGTCTTTGCGGGCACCGGCCGTGCAGATGGAGGCACGAGGTGGTGGTGAGGGTGCCCTTGGCGACATGAGTCCCGACACCTACATCATTGGCATCACTGTGCTTGGGATTGCATCCTTGTTTGCCAACATCAGCGGCTTCTTCAACCCATGAGAAGACCGGGGTAGAGAATGGCAGCGGCCATGATATGTAGGTTTTTAGTCTCTTTATATTGTTTACATCGCTTCGATCTGCCTGACAGAGCAGAGGATTGTGCGAATTGGGGCAGAAATAGTGTCTTTGAGGGAACAGATGGGGACGGGCGGGGACGGGCATGAGCATGTTTTCCTTTCTGACATGTCCCTCTTGCAGTGGGTCCCGGGTTCAGTGTATGTTTGCTTGAACTGCAAACGATTCAGCCAAAGGAATCAATCGCATTTGAGGAACAAGAGAGTTGGACTACGTTTGACTATGCAAGGGTTGATCACATGTGAGCACCGAAGGATGTGAGATACTCGGATGTTTGGATATGTTTGGATGAGAATTCCAAATCCAAAACATATATGGGCGTCACTGTGTTGCTCCTATCGAGTTTGCATTCACGTCGGACTCCGTGATCATTTTGGCTTGGGCTTGAGCTCTTTTAAAGCCACTCCTGTGCAGCTCTCTGTGTGGCAAAACTTGCAACATGGCTCGCTCTGCCTCACGTGTGCTCGCTTGCGTGCTCTTGGCCCTTGCCTGCTCGGCGATGCTTTGCTTTGTGGGCACCACTCCCAGTCCTGCTGCTGGAAGCACTCCGCTGAAGCAGTCTTTGCGGGCACCGGCCGTGCAGATGGAGGCACGAGGTGGTGGTGAGGGTGCCCTTGGCGACATGAGTCCCGACACCTACATCATTGGCATCACTGTGCTTGGGATTGCATCCTTGTTTGCCAACATCAGCGGCTTCTTCAACCCATGAGAAGACCGGGGTAGAGAATGGCAGCGGCCATGATATGTAGGTTTTTAGTATATCTTTACATTGTTTACATCGCTTCGATCTGCCTGACAGAGCAGAGGATTGTGCAAATTGGTGCAGAAATAGTGTCTCTGAGGGAACAGATGGGGACGGGCGGGGAAAGGCATGAGCATGTTTTCCTTTCTGACATGTCCCTCTTGCAGTGGGTCCTGGGTTCAGTGTATGTTTGCTTGAACTGCAAAGGATTCAGCCAAAGGAATCAATCGCATTTGAGGAACAAGAGAGTTGGACTACGTTTGACTATGTAAGGTTTGATCACGTGTGAGCATCGAAGGATGTGAGATACTCGGATGTTTGGATATGTTTGGATGAGAATTCCAAATCCAAAACATATATGGGCGTCACTGTGTTGCTCCTATCGAGTTTGCATTCACGTCGGACTCCATGATCATTTTGGCTTGGGCTTGAGCTCTTTTAAAACCACTCCTGTGCAGCTCTCTGTGTGGCAAAACTTGCAACATGGCTCGCTCTGCCTCACGTGTGCTCGCTTGCGTGCTCTTGGCCCTTGCCTGCTCGGCGATGCTTTGCTTTGGGGGCAACCGAGCTCCCAGTCTGCTGCTGGAGAGCACTCCGCTGAAGTAAGTCTTTGCGGGCACGGCGTGCAGATGGAAGCACGGGGGTGGGGAGGTGGGGTGGTGGGGAGGTGGCCCTTGGGAACATGATAGTCACCGAGACACCTACATCATGGCATCACTTGCTTGGGATTGCCTTCCTGTTTGCAACATCAGCGGCTTCTTCAACCCATTGAGGAAGACCGGGGTACGAGAATGGCAGCGGCCATGATATGTAGGTTTTTAGTATCTTTACATTGTTTACATCGCTTCGATCTGCCTGACAGAGCAGAGGATTGTGCAAATTGGTGCAGAAATAGTGTCTTTGAGGGAACAGATGGGGACGGGCGGGGACAGGCATGAGCATGTTTTCCATCCTCACATGTCCTTCTTGCAGTGGGTCCCGGGTTCAGTGTATGTTTGTTTGAACTCCAAACGATTCAGCCAAAGGAATCAATCGCATTTGAGGAACAAGAGAGTTGGACTACGTTTGACTATGTAAGGTTTGATCACATGTGAGCATCGAAGGATGTGAGATACTCGGATGTTTGGATATGTTTGGAATTGTTTGGATGAGAATTCCAAATCCAAAACATATATGGGCGTCACTGTGTTGCTCCTATCGAGTTTGCATTCACGTCGGACTCCATGATCATTTTGGCTTGGGCTTGAGCTCTTTTAAAGCCACTCCTGTGCAGCTCTCTGTGTGGCAAAACTTGCAACATGGCTCGCTCTGCCTCACGTGTGCTCGCTTGCGTGCTCTTGGCCCTTGCCTGCTCGGCGATGCTTTGCTTTGTGGGCACCACTCCCAGTCCTGCTGCTGGAAGCACTCCGCTGAAGCAGTCTTTGCGGGCACCGGCCGTGCAGATGGAGGCACGAGGTGGTGGTGAGGGTGCCCTTGGCGACATGAGTCCCGACACCTACATCATTGGCATCACTGTGCTTGGGATTGCATCCTTGTTTGCCAACATCAGCGGCTTCTTCAACCCATGAGAAGACCGCGGTAGAGAATGGCAGCGGCCATGATATGTAGGTTTTTAGTATCTTTACATTGTTTACATCGCTTCGATCTGCCTGACAGAGCAGAGGATTGTGCAAATTGGTGCAGAAATAGCGTCTCTGAGGGAACAGATGGGGACGGGCGGGGACAGGCATGGGCATGTTTTCCATCCTCACATGTCCTTCTTGCAGTGGGTCAGGTGCATAGATCGATACACGAGTCTGATATATTGCTGGCCTGCCTGGCGAGCCTTGCAGCGAGGCCATCGAGATGGATTCCGACCACATGTTTCACCTGAACTTTGCCATAACTTTGTTCAACCATGGAGAGCTCACAGAGGCCAAGTAGCTTGGTATCTGTACTGTTGATGTGGGTCAGTGGGTCATGAAGCGAATAAGATTTGGGTGTCCCAAATTTGCCCCATGAAATGTGACTTGTTTATACATGTTAGAATTTGGTGCAAATCTTCCCGCCGCAGCCTGAATATCTTGGAAATTGGGGAATTTTTGTTGCTCATCATTCCAGAATATTCCAGAGAGTTCCATGGATTTCAAACAGTGTGGTTCTCGAACTAAGTTGCGCCAAAGCCTCGACCAGGCCAAGCGGCAGTTTGTGCTGTTCAACGATTTGTTCCAGCAGCTGGATGAAGAGCAAAGGAACTCAGACCCAGAGGCCCCAAAGTCTTGGCTGAATGATGCTGAATGATCTGAATGGGCAATATGGGTATGGGATTGGCCAAACTTGGGGCAATCCAAGCAGTGCGATCCAATTCTGACATTTTAATACATTTTAGTGGTTTTGGTTGAACAAAGTCATACCGTGTATTGTTGGTGAAGTTCCAGGGGTGGACAGTTTCCTCAGCCTGGCTGGCGTGGGAAGGTGAATGAGCAGAGACAGCTCCTTCAGGGAGTACTGAACGGTGGCGCAAAATAGTTTCTGGACACCCAACTGAAATCGGTTGATACTGTACAGCCAGAAATTGTAAGGCTCACTTGCACTGATCTTTGTGTATATGTGTGTGTGTGTTTGTATGTTTTTGTGTGCTGTCGTGTTTGTTGTTACTTTTGCATTTCCTTTTAACGTCCTTGGTCGGTGCAATTGAGTCTCACATTTCCAGGGTCTGAAGCGGAAAGAGGAAGCTTGTGCTGAGCTTCGAAAGTGCGAGACCCTGTGTAGATATGGAGTGTCGCCTCAATGTCAGGTGACAGAACAATCGTCTCCGATGCAATGGCGTCCAATATCTGCAGACTTGTCATGTGCATTGTTCTTGTTCTACAGATGTCATATCGCATGGTAGAAGCATCACCAAACTTTCAAACGGTTGTCAACCTTTCGACATGTCGCATAGGCATGTCCTTGCACTGTATCAACATCTATGGCCTAGATGTTGATCCAGCGCAAGGATATATACTACGTAGTACAATCTAGACCAGTCTAGTACATAGACATGCAGCACTTGTTTGAGAACCAACAAATCGGAGCGACTGGTGTATGGTATTCTGTCCATGTCTGGAACCCACAACCGAGCTGTATCTTTGGCAAACATGTTTTCTGCGTTGGAGTCACAGGCTCAAAGCAAGCCAGGCACAAGCTGATTGACCCACCAACCATATCAAGCCACATGTTTTCATCCTGGATTGCTGGCAAAAAGAAGACATGATGCAAGCTGAAGCCAGATTACAGTACTGAAAATTGTCAAATCCGTTGATGTGGTCTGGGAGCTACCTTGAACTCCACCAAAGAATGGAAACAAACACGTCCGCATTGGTCAGTCGCACTTGCGATGCGCTTTGCGGCGCCGGAAAAGACGATGAGAAAATGAGGCCTTCCATGTCGAGATAGGTCAGATAGGTCAGATAGGTCGAATATCGAATCATGTTGGAATTGTTTCACGTGGAATATGTGGAATCCCAATGAGCAATGGCTCAGAGGATGCGGGACTTGTACACACTTTTGGGGTGATCAGAAGATATCAGAAGATAGTTCGGAACAGCACTTGAGATCCACAACAAACTCTCAGCCAGTTGCCAAATTGTTTGGCATTGATCCTGGCCACACCCATTCCCAAGGGGCATCCCTTGGCTACGGTCATTCGTAGCCATGCTACATCCGGCGATGAAGTGAGATGATCACATCAAAAAGATCAAAGATTTACATGATTTACGCAGTGTAAATGTTAAACTTGGAAGCCAATCATTCAAGTTTGTCATCCCCCTAATATTCAAGCAGCCCCCATTCTATGGTCCCAAATCCGCCCGCACCGAAGGTGCTGGGGCGTGATCGTCCGGATGGCACTCGTAAAAGGTTACAGGTTTACCTGGGGGGGGGTGGCATTTTTCGGCCAAAACCTCCTGTTGTTGATAGGTCGTGACGCTCGCCTTCAAAAAACACTGTAAAAAACAGTACGGAAGACACCTGTTCGTGAACGCGCCCGTCCAAAATCGGCAAGCGAAAAGTGAAAAAAACCCGTGTTTTTCAACTTTTTGACGTCAATTTTTTGGTTTGCAACATCTTTTTTTGTGGTTCCGCAGGTGGCCTGGCCCGGAGGCGGATTTTTGAGTTTTTGGACCCGTTTTCGGACTGATTTTCGTCGTTTTGTGATAGCAGAAACACTGGTTTTTACAGTGTTTTTCTGTTTTCTGCATGCTTGACGGCTAGCTTCAAAACTTCCAAAAACCTCGTAAATTATATACGCTGTTTTATGTTACGGTGTGAATGAAAACATCGTAAATACCAGTGTTTTTTGACGTTGGTTAAAAAAACACTGTAAATTACAGTGTTTTTGGCCACCTGACCCTCAAAAACCATGGTATTTGCAGTGGTTTCTGCTTCTCACCGCGCAAAAACACTGTAAATAACAGCAATTTCGCCGTTTTTTCATGTTTTTCGTTATTTTTTGAACTGCGTTGGTCCGCTATACATGGCTATCAAATTCTTCGCTATTTTTTGAACTGCATGGTTTTCCAACGATGCGGTGCGGGCGGTTGCCGTCGCGAAGCGACGTGAATATGTGCTTCTATATTTCTTATTCCCTACATCCACCATGGTTTTGGGGGAATGTTTAATATGAATAGGGGATGTGACCATTTCCCATCAAAAATCCCCATCATATATGCTTAGAACTAAATCCATTTAAGTTTAAATCATTTTAAATCCATTTAAATCCCATAAAATGCCACCATTTTGCTTGGTTATTTCATCCTATAAATCCAGCATGTAACCGTTGGTCAAATCACCATCTTTCTTGCTTCGATTCGCCGTCAGCCGTGGGTTTCTGCAGGCCTCCGTGACGGCATGGTGAAGAGAGCTTTGTGCAGCTTGGCACTGCGATTTTTTTTGGGGGGGGGATTTTCTGGATTTTTGAGATAGAATTGGATAACTGATGATAACTGTATATTAGTGATATAAATTGATATAATATAAAGTAATAAACCAGATTACACAATATTAATCAATATTATATATACTACGACTGTACAATACATATATACATATGGGAGCCGTCCGTAAAAGCAGATAACAAATTTATGAATTCATGCGTTTACTCTGCTTTGCGCGATTGCCAAAACCTGCATCGCGATAGGCTGAGCGATTGGTTGGCGATTGGTTATACGGCTACGACGACTACTACTACTACTACTACTACTGCTACTACTACTACTACTACTAGTACTACTACTACTACTGCTACTACTACTACTGCTACTACTACTACTACTAGTACTACTACTAGTACTACTACTACTACTAGAACAACAACTACTACTACTAATAATAATCTATTACTACTACTACTAATCTACTACTACTACTACTGCTTCTACTACTGCTACTACTGCTACTACTGCTACTACTGCTACTACTACTACTACGACTACTACGACTACGACTACTACTACTACTACTACTGCTAATCTACTACTACTACTACTAATACTAATACTAATACTAATACTAATCTACTACTACTACTACTACTACTACTACTACTACTAGTACTGGTACTAGTACTAGTACTAGTACTAGTACTACTACTACTACTACTGCTACTACTAGTACTACTACTACTACTAGTACTAGTACTAGTATACTAGTACTACTACTCCTCCTCCTCCTACTACTACTACTACTCCTACTCTACTACTCCTACTCCTAGTCCTACTCCTACTACTACCGGTATTACTCTGAGTTTTCCGGACCGTTTCCGGACCGCGCAATTTTCTTTTCTTCTCCAATATGAAAACGAATGCGTTCATGGGCGGATCCTTCTACTAGTGTTGCTACTACTCTCAGTATTACCACTAGCGCCGCTACCACTGCAACGCCGCTACCACTACTACACCGAGGAATTTTTGCCTTTGCTTTTCTCCACTTGAGAGAAGTTCGACGGAAGGGTCAGAAATCAGTCAGAAACCAGTCAGAAACAGGCCAAACGCAACCTCTCTCTCTCTCTCTCCTTTGCCTATTCCCTCACCCTCCTACCGGAACTCCTGCCCCTACTCCTATTCCAATTTCCACTACCACTACTGCTAGTGCTACTGCTACTGCTAGTGCTGCTGGTACTACTGTGAGTTTTCCGGACCGTTTCCGGACCGCGCAAGCTTATTTTGCTCCCAAATTTGAATGCGTTCACGCATGGATCCTTACTCTCATTACTAGATTTGCTACTACTCTTAGTACTACCACAACGCCCGCTGCTACTGCACCACCACTACCACTAGTACACCTAGGAATTTCTGCCTTTGCTTTTAAATCCAATTGACACGAGTCCCGCTGAAGGGTCAGCAACCAGTCAGAAACCAGTCAGAAACCCGTCAGAAACCGGCCAAACGCAACCATCTCCCTCCCTCCCTCCCTCTCTCTCTCTTTCTCTCTTTCCCTCCCTCTCCCTTTCTTCCCCTGCCCTGCTACTAGAACTCCTACTCCTATTCCTACTCCTATTCCTATTCCTACTCCGACTCCTACTCCTACTCCTACCCCTACTACTACTACTACCACTACTACTACACTACTACTACTACTACTACTACTCCTACTCCTACTACCACTACTACTACTACTACTACTCCTCCTACTACTACTACTCCTACTCCTACTCCTACCTCCTACTCCTACTCCTACTCCTACTACTGGTATTACTGTGAGTTTTCCGGACCGTTTCCGGACCGCGCAATTTTCTTTTCTTCTCAATTATGAAAACGAATGCGTTCATGGGCGGATCCTTCTACTACTCTCAGTATTACCACTAGCGCCGCTACCACTACTCCGAGGAATTTTTGCCTTTGCTTTTCTCCACTTGACAGGAGTTTCACGGAAGGGTCAGAAATCAGTCAGAAACCAGTCAGAAACCGGCCAAACGCAACCTCTCTCTCTCTCCCCCTTGCCTATTCCGTCACCCTCCTACCAGAACTCCTACCCCTACTCCTATTCCAATTTCCACTACCACTACTGCTAGTGCTACTGCTACTGCTAGTGCTGCTGGTACTACTGTGAGTTTTCCGGACCGTTTCCGGACCGCGCAAGCTTATTTTGCTCCCAAATTTGAATGCGTTCACGCATGGATCCTCATTATATAGTACATAACTTATATTTTATGTATATGATCTGATTAACGAAGAACAAACCCTTCCGCGATTGCTCACTGTGGTACCGCGGTTGCTACGCGATTGGCTGAGCGATTGAAGGCTGTCCGGGAAAAGGTATTTTGGACAACCCCCATATATTATAATTATATAATATAGTTTTATATACATAATGATATATGATATATGATATATTTATATATATAATCAGCAATACAGCTGAAAATGACGTGCTTTGAAGGGTGTTTGGTCACAGTCTTTTTCAGATGACGCAATTTCACCCAGGCGTTGGGTGCAACTACCCGAGCAAAGCCTTCGGACTGGCGGGAGCGGTCAATGATGCCTTCCTCATTGCAGAGACTTTGCAGGTGCGGCCAAATTCACCGGGTGAAAAAGAGATGTTCCTTCTAGTTAGGTCAAAAAACAGGACCGTTAGGCTGCGGCATGAAGATGTTCTTTGTAGTTCTCTATGCCTCGGAGAAGTTCTGGAGCAATCTTGAGCAGCCCGTCAAAAATGTCAGGCGCATATGGGTTTCCGGCACGAGAATGTCTGTGTTTTGCACGACGTCTACCCAGGGCAGAAGAAGTCCTTGAAGGCCAAGCCAGACCTTCTCCACCCGGTCCATCCAAACAAAATATCAACCAGTATCAGTACGCGAATTCTGCCAAGTGAATTGCAGTGTCATCAGTGTCCCGGAATATCCGGAATTATATGGAATTATATGGAATTATAAGACCTAAAATATTCGAAACGAAAGATCGGTGTGTCTGAAAATTGCTAGTTAACAAAAAAAACATTGTCCATTTTGCCATGCAGAAATGGAAATCTGATGAAATTCGCCATTAAATTTGCATTTGTTTCTTCTGAATGTTCAGACAAAGAGGTGGAGCCTGCGAAGTCGCCCACTCGTGTGAACATCTTGCAGCAGTGGAGTCCTTAGCAAAGCGGTTGACTGCTCTTGCAGGAAGCATGGGAGTGTCAATGAATATCCAATTTCATAACATGGTTCATGTATGTTCATGTGAATCATAATAATCATATTATGATATACGATAATGTGATATGTAGAGAAAGCCCACGAGAGTTGAGGTTCAAAGCGTGTAACTTGCAGACTTCGGCCGAGGTTGCAGCAGATTGTCCGGCAGACACGACCAGGTGATGTGCTGTTCTTTTCCTTTTCAGGCTACGGTCTTCAGGTGGATGATATGGATGGCTATCAAGATGAAGGTTATGAAGAAGCCATCCTCCCCACGGATTTCGTGGATGGTCGTGACGGTGACTACAGCGTCATTTGCACCAACGATTTGCATGATGTCCCCGGCTTAGACTCGAAGGAACATAGCTGAAAAAATGCTGACCGGAAAATCTAGGGGATGACTCAATACAGTAACTACAATGTAGCTACACTATGTTACACTGGCCAGCTTTCCGATGCTTTTTTCTGCTGTTTGTTCCAGAAGAAGCAGCTACTTCGGTGTGTCAACCAGGTCCTCCTTGGAGTGCCACAGAATGTGATCGTCACTGCAGTGATGGACCGGTGATTTCTGTGCAACACCACGAGATGGCGGGGGTCATAAGAATTTAAGTGACCCAAAAGAAGCTAGCAGCTTGAGATAGAAATAAATGAAATGTGAAATGTGTGTATGTATGTGTATGTGCATGTATGTGCATGTATGTGTATGTATGTGTATGTATGTGTATGTATGTATATATATATATATAGCGACCATCAACTGTTGATGCTGATGTGATAGAAAGGAAAGTTGACGAAAGTTGAAGGCACCAAGCGCAATTCAGCATGTCGAGATGTGTTCAGAGGATGCTGTGTGGATCTCTTGATTTCGCAGGACTGCGATCATGCGACCACACTGATTGATATCGGTGGCACTCTGGATGGCTCTTTGGTGAGTGGGCTGAAGTACAGCAGTTTCTGCGGCTTACAGGCCTGGTGCACAGATTGCGATTGCTCTGTGCTTCGAAAACATTGAGCATCTCTTGCACGAGAGCAGGCCCACTCTACCAAAATGATGCTTGCAAACCATGAGCGGGGCGTGTGGCAGGCGGCTTGAGGGTGGAATACAATGGTGCCATGTACCGTCATTGACACCTGTTCTGTATTTTGTTGTTTGCATATGGGCAGTTTATGTCAAATTTATGTGTCATTGTGCAGGAAGAGAAAGCTCGTTCAGTAGCTGCACGTCCACGTTTTCAGCCTGTCCACAACTTAGATACTCTTGATTACTCTTGGATGGTGACATTTGGTTTGCAGAAGCAGGGGTGTTGGTATAAATTTGCTTCTGCGGAAACGGTCCATGGATGTACAGCTACACAGGTGATGGAGATCGACAATCCTCGAAGGGGCAGGCCAGGGCCTGCCATGCTACCTGTCCTTTCCTTTGGTTTTGCCGGGATGGAGTGACACCCAAAAGCAGCACAGCCTTTCAGGTTTCATTCATAGCCTTCCTATGAGATCTTATCCTGTCTTATCCACATGGAGGTCTCCTGAAGTAGGGGTGCCCCAAATCATCTAGTTTCAGAGTTTTCAGACGGATTTTCCTTATCAGCCATCCATTTTGAGGGATTTCCATTTTAGGAAACCCCCACATATCACCTCTGCGAGGCTTCCAACCAGGCCAGCCATGTCTCGTTCGTCCTCCATTGCCTTCTGCTACTCAGCTGCCGGGCACGGCCAGACGGCAATGGAAATGCACCACTGCCATGGCTTGGACAGTTGTTGGAAGTTGGAAATATATCAAGGTTTGGGGTCTTGGAAGTTTGAGTTTGAGGAAGAGACAGAGAAAACCCATAGAAAACCTATGTAAAGAGATGTAAAGTATGTATATTATAATATATTATAATATATTATATTATATTATAATATATCAATATATATTATATTATATTACGGGCAAACCCCACAGTTTGCCCACGCATACGTCGACGACGTCCCCGATTTTTTTTAAAAAAAATGTCTTTTGTGGGACAAAATGCACATGTACATGTCCGTGATCTTGGCTTTCATCTTGCAACGCACAGCTTAGGCTACCTGTGCGTTGAATATGACATCATCATCAACATCATCATCATCATCAACAACAACAACAACGACGACATCAACCCTAAACCCTAAAACCCGAAACTCCTTTAAAATTCCCTTGAATCTAAAGTTCAGCGGGGGTGCGGATTTGATGATTCCCTAGAAACTCTGTTGAAATCATGTTGAATATTCCCGTTGAATGTAAAGTTTAACACTGCCTTCAATATCCCCTTATCAGTTGTGTGGGCGAACTGGGGGGCTTGCGCGTAATATTATATATGATATCTATATAATATATAATATTATATATATATATATGTACACACATGTGCGTAAAATGATATATTATATAAATAGGTGGATGTACTCTGCTAGCCTGTGACTTGTGCGCATGTGAGCCTTTTGGTCTTGAAAGAAATGACATGAATCATGTATCGTTCACCAGTTGCCAGGAAGATGACAACGCCAAGTGTGGATGGGCAAGAGCCAACTGTAAAGCAGCATGGAGCTGGAGACTCACTGCAGACTCCAGCGATCGATGGTTTTTTTCAGGCTCAAGCAATGGTTTGTCTGAAAATTTAGGGGAAAACGCTCCAATAATCCCATTGTTGATCATCATGCTGCCTATGAAATGATATTTTCCATGGCTGCTCCAATGAATGGGGAGATACCGATGCCCATTTTCAGACAAACCCCGGTTGGGAGGGAAGACCAAGGTTCTATCCTGGTGCTTTGCAAAGGCTTTGGAAGAGCCCGGCAGTCCAGATTTATGGGGTTTCAAACGCCAACGAAAAAGCCAACGGGATGTTTTCCCGTTAGATACATCCATTTTTGGCGGCTATAACGGACTGGGTTTCCCATTTGAAGGAATCCCCAAACGGAAATTGCATGCATAAATTGGAGGCACAAGATGATCATGTAATATATCAAGCTATGTCAAGAAAATTACTGTAAAGATATATCAAATACACTAATGATTCGTTAAGTTGGTGCAGTTGGTGCATCTGTGGTGCACATTTGAGGTTGAATTTCAGCGGCACGTATTTCGAACTACAGGAGGCGCGAAACTGGCAGAAATTTGGCGCCGATGGTTTCAGATGTTGCGCCGATGAGGAGATTCAGCAGCAGATGAAGCAAATCAAAGCAACTTCTTTACCTCGCATGGATCAGGAGAAGGGTTGGGTTTCAATGAGGTTCAATGGGTTTCAATGAATTTTCAATGGATTTGGATCTTGTCAGGTTCATTAGCTACTCACTGCTCCAATATGCAATATAACGATGCAGAACGTGAGATGAGAACGTGACCGTAAGAGCCTTTCAATCTTTCTAGCGCCTTTGATCGCTTGAAGGAAGTTTTGCTCACCTTTTCCCTCCCATTGTCAGATGCTCGATACGACTGTTTTTTCCTTCGGAAAGTAAGAAGCTCTGCCTCAAAACACCTGGAGCATGATGGAATTTTGCTGAGCCTTGCCTCCTTGAAAGTCTGAAGCAAGTTGATGATTAGTTGATGGCCTCGCTTTGTTTCATCATACAAAAAGGCACTCTGCCTTTGCCAAAGGTACTTCTCAGTCGTTTCATGAAAAGATCGCTAAAGGAACAGCGTCGTTGATGAACCCCACCTTTCTCATGCTTGCCTGGCTTGCCTTTCCCATGGATGTGTTTTCTGGATCATTTTTTTTGTGGGTGACTTGCGCCATGGATAAGGTCAAAACCAAGAACAATGAAGATCCTGCAACCAATGGAGTCCGTGCCCAGCACTTAGGTCATCCGGCAATGTCCTGCAATGTCGCATCAATGCATCAAACATTGTGTGAGGAGAACAACTGCCCTGCAAATGCACTACCATGCTTGATGCTTGTATATGGATGGTTATAGATTATTGATGATATTGATGGTTATATAGATGGTTATAGAGCTATAGATGGTGGTTATAGATGGTGGTTATAGATGGTGGTTATAGATGGTGGTTATAGATGGTTATAGATGGTTATAGATGGTTATAGATGGTTATAGATGGTTATAGATCAGTGTTGTAGATGTAATTACCATCCATAACTGCCACAACTATACCATTGATCTATAACCATACCAGTCGGTTAGTCATGAATGTCGAATCCCAGGCATGCACCCGATCGGGGCATCAGCACCCAAAGCATGCGCCTGGCAGCGCCTGCTGCCTGGCCCTCGGAATGGGACGATTTACTACAAAAAAGGTGAGGGCCTCGCTTCGGAACGCGTCTTGAGGGATCGCTTCGGAACGCGCTCTCATGCATCGCTTTCGAACGCGCCTCCTCACCATCATCATTATCATCATCATCATCGTCATCATCATCATCATCAATGAATGTAATGGTTCAAGGGGGGCTGGTTGATTTGATACCAATGAATGTCATGGTTCAAGGGGGGCTGGTTGATTTGATACCAATGAATGTAATGGTTCAAGGGGGGCTGGTTGATTTGATTTGATTACCATGAACTTTGTTAATGTTCAAGGGGGGGCTGTGGAATTTGATACCAATGGAATGTCATGGTTCAAGGGGGGCTGGTTGATATGATACCAATGAATGTAATGGTTCAAGGGGGGCTGGTTGATTTGATACCAATGAATGTAATGGTTCAAGGGGGGGCTGGTTGATTTGATACCAATGAATGTAATGGTTCAAGGGGGGCTGGTTGATTTGATACCAATGAATGTAATTGTGCCAGGGGGGCTGGTTGATTTGATACCAATGAATGTCATGGTTCAAGCGGGGCTGGTTGATTTGATAGCAATGAATGTAATGGTTCAAGCGGGGCTGGTTGATATGATACCAATGAATGTAATGGTTCAAGGGGGGCTGGTTGATTTGATACCAATGAATGTAATGGTTCAAGGGGGGCTGGTTGATTTGATACCAATGAATGTAATTGAGCCAGGGGGGCTGGTTGATTTGATACCAATGAATGTAATGGTTCAAGGGGGGCTGGTTGATTTGATACCAATGAATGTAATGGTTCAAGGGGGGCTAGTTTATTTGATAGCAATGAATGTCATGGTTCAAGGGGGGCTGGTTGATTTGATACCAATGAATGTAATGCGTTTTCAAGGGGGGCCTGGCTTTTGATTTGAGGACTGGGTTTGATTTGATAGCAATGAATGTCATGGTTCAAGGGGGGCTGGTTGATTTGATACCAATGAATGTAATGGTTCAAGGGGGGCTGGTTGATTTGATACCAATGAATGTAATGGTTCAAGGGGGGCTGGTTGATTTGATACCAATGAATGTAATGGTTCAAGGGGGGCTGGTTGATTTGATACCAATGAATGTAATGGTTCAAGGGGGGCTGGTTGATTTGATACCAATGAATGTAATGGTTCAAGGGGGGCTGGTTGATTTGATAGCAATGAATGTAATGGTTCAAGGGGGGCTGGTTGATTTGATAGCAATGAATGTAATGGTTCAAGGGGGGCTGGTTGATTTAATAGCAATGAATGTAATGGTTCAAGGGGGGCTGGTTGATTTGATAGCAATGAATGTAATGGTTCAAGGGGGGCTGGTTGATTTGATACCAATGAATGTAATGGTTCAAGGGGGGCTGGTTGATTTGATAGCAATGAATGTAATGGTTCAAGGGGGGCTGGTTGATTTGATACCAATGAATGTAAATTTTCTCAGCGTTTTTTTAAGGCGGTGGTTTTTTTAATTTTTTTTAAAGTGGGGTAGGGTCAAATGTGAACCGGAAAAAGTGGCCTTTTTTCCTGGAAGGGTTGCGTATCTTTGTTAGGGTAGGGTCGAATGTGAGGCGGCATGACGTTATTTTGGAGTAGGGTCGAATGTGAGGCTGCGGTAGGGTCGAATTGGAGGTCCGTACCCGTGGCTCTTCTTACATCAAGTGCAACAAGATATAAACCCTAAAGGTGTCGTGGCTCTTCTTACATCAAGTGCAACAATATATAAACCCTAAAGGTGTCGTGGCTCTTCTTACATCAAGTGCAACAAGGTATAAACCCTAAAGGTGTCGTGGCTCTTCTTACATCAAGTGCAGCAAGATACAAACCCTAAAGGTGTCATGGCTGTCCTTTCATTAAGTGCAACAAGATATAAACCCTAAAGGTGTCGTGGCTCTCCTTACATGAAGTGCAACAAGATATAAACCCTAAAGGTGTCGTGGCTCTTCTTACATCAAGTGCAACAAGATATAAACCCTAAAGGTGTCATGGCTCTTCTTACATCAAGTGCAACAAGATATAAACCCTAAAGGTGTCGTGGCTCTTCTTACATCAAGTACAACAAGGCTTTTGTTTCATATATTCACCTTCATTTTCTGTGGCAGGCGTGGGACCTTTTGGCATCGACCTTCATTTTGCGTGGCAGGTGTGGCACTTTTGTACATGGACTGTCCTTTTGCGTGGCAGGCGTGGGACTTTATGACATGGTTGAAACGAGTAAAATTCTCATACGAGGCGTTTTTTTGTGTTGGTCTCGCTTTGGAACGCGTTTTTCTTCCAAAGTCTCGCACCTGTCAGTAAATCTGATGTGTGTGTATGGCTGTGTTCTGAAGTGATGTTTGATTTTGTGTTCTGAAGTGATGCAAAATGGCTGTGTTCTAAAGTGATGCCTGAGAGTGTGCTCCAAAGTGATCCTGTTACCTACAAAAAACTATGGAAAGATCCACCATGGAATTAATGGGAAAATCCACTATTTCTATGGTCATGTTCAATAGCAAACTGTAACAAATTACTGTACCAGAGAGTACCATGACTTTCCTGTGATAAGACTGGGTTGAAATTTCTGAAAGTGTTGAAACGAACGTTTTTCGATTTTGTATTGAGGTTGTGCCTCCCCCGCCGCCTGGATTTTTGACAGGTGGGGGTTGGAACGGGAACAATGAAGCCTCAAACTGTGCTTTTAATATCTTATAATATCAATGCTACTTCTCAGTATCCCATTCATTTCTATGGGGATTTTCCAAGTTTGATTTGCTTGAAGAATGTGTATACTTGGATACTATAAGGTATCTGGATTTCATTTTGTCCCCTCATAAATTGTCCAAATTGAAGCAATGACTCAAAAATTACAAGGCCCTTTTTCAAAGGGTATCTTCCATAGCTTTGCCAAGATCATCCAATATAACTGCGCTGCAGTGGTGGGCCTCGCCGGCGACACCATGAATTTGCACACCAGATGGCAGTCACGTATCATATTATTCACTAGGCTGATTGGTGGTTTGGAATATGAATTTTATTTTTCCATATATTGGGAATAATCATCCCAACTGACTAATATTTTTCAGAGGGGTTGAAACCACCAACCAGTAGCGGTTGAAGACTAAGAAAAGTTTGACAAGGTCCAGAAACTGCTGGCAGTCCAGGGAGTGGAAGTGCTGTCACCTCTCGACAAGTCTCAGAAGACATCCCATCAGTTTCCCGGCAAAGATTTAGGGCTTGAACTTGCGCAGTGGTATGCCGACAAGGTTTTCAATCATGTTTTGGGATATTATATATATACACAATTATATATATATATAGTGATATAGTGACGTGTATACATATATACATATATATATATATGGTATGCCAACAGTGATATTCATGTGTTGGGATTGTCGAAGTTTTGCTTTTGTCAGCATTATAGATAATATAATCGACTCACAGCGCTGCCGGGCTCAGCACGAACACCATCCTGCATTACCGAGGCTCAATCAAGACCAGCTTGGTCAGAACTGGTGCATCACAATGTCGAAGGCCGTGAAGGTTCCTTCAAAGTGTGAAGCCCTAATGGTGAAGAGAGAAGCTGTCAGAGTGTGAAGCCCAAATTATTGGTCAACGTTTGGGTTCATGGCAAATCTAACTAGAGTTGATGGATTTATAAACCAGCAAACATAGCGATCGTTGCCCGCTTCAGAAGCCAAAAAATCACGATTCAGAAACCAAAAAGTACGATTCAGAAACCATAATGACCGATTCAGAAACCACAATGACCGATTCAGCAACCAAAACTACAGCAATTCGGAAACCAAAACGCCAAGATTCAGAAACAAAAAAAACACGATTTAGAAACCAAAAATGTACGACTTAGATACTTTTTGGTTTCCGAAGACTCCTTGTTGGTTTCCGAATAATTTCTTAACCATAAACATAACTGGGGAGCGACACCTGTGAGTTTCTTAGGTCCAAGGGACCAGCTATGCTCCGCAGCCCCGAGACTATGAGAAGACTGGGCCTGCTAACGGATGGGGCAACAAGTCAGCAGCGCCAACAGAACCTAAGTGCTAGCCTCACTTTTGAGAGCTTTGCCATGAGTTGTCTATCACAGCAAGTTGTTTTTGGTACGGTATCGTGAGAGTGACAGTACCCATAGATGCGATTAGATGCGTATAGTTCTTTAAAGCTGTATATACCGTTGTGTATATACCTTACGTGCGAGGGAATGGAAAAATATACCGTTGTTTACAGTCAGGTTTCCAGCGCGACAAGTCGACATTATTGGCGGACGCTCAGTTGGAGCCACAGCCAGTGAATCCGCAAGCCATTTGTGTCAGATCTTTTGCTGGGTGGTCTCTTCAAAATTGGGACCCACGTCATCAAGAATGTATCCGATAATATCCGATATTTTGAATTTTGCACATATATATATATATATACACTTATATTATATATATATATTAATATATATTATTATACGTATGTAACACACATATATATATATATATATACACTATATATACAGGTCAATGAATTTTGGGTACCCCAAGTTCAAGAACCAGCCACGGAAGCCTTTGTGAGGCGTTAACGAATCCCGACCCGGCTGAGGATGCGCGGGACCGGCACTTGCCGGCGCCTCCACCACCGCTGTCAACACTCAGGCAGTGAGACCTGCTGATTTTGAACAGTTATGGCCCTATGGCTATATGATTATTATTGGGATATTCCCAATCCAATGGCAATTTGAGGAAAGGTTGGATGTCTAAAATAGAGGTCATATTATGATGAAGGCAGATATGAGCAGATAATTTGTGTGGTGTCTCCACCTCAACGTTGGCAGTTCGCGGCCGGCTACAAGCCACCCTCCGCCGGACATCTCCAACTGGCCCTCCCCGCGGTCGCCTAACCAGCATGAGCTGCAGCAGCAGCAGCCATATCCTGGACAGCCGTGTCGGACTCAGTTGGAAATACTGCAAGTTGTCCCAGTACTAGTTTACTGATGTTTACTGTGCCATCTGCTCCAAAGAAACGGAAATGGGAGTGGAAGTGAATGAAAATTGTGCATAAATGTTCGGACGGCTGAAATATCATCTATTATTGCCAAAGTTGTGGTGTCAGAATGCTAGTAGCGCCATGAGACTGGGATTGCCTCTGAGGAGAGACCAGCGAGGTGTTCCAGTTCCAGGTGGCAGGGGTCAAAAATCGGGGCTACACTCCATTACACTCCACCAGGAAGGAAAATGTTACAGAAAAGTGCTTGTTTGAGTGTTGGGGTTTCCTACAAATTTTCCATGACACATGGGAATGCTCCTATTTGGTTCCGCGGTCTCGAATTCAAGGGCTTGATCCAAGTGAAAGCGGCGTCAACGGAAACGTTGGACTAATTTGCTCTAACCAACTAGTCAAGTTGGGTATCCTAGATTATCCAATATCATTTATATGAACAATTATTAACCCATTATTAACCCATAGTCATCTCCCAATGGCCAGGCTTGACGGCCCCAAATCTCTTTGGCAATGCTGGGCCTCCTGCGTTGAGTGGGGCGTCACAGTTGAGCCATCTTCGGCTCAAAAGACCACCGAATGCTGAGCCATGTTTGAACTGTGAGCCATGAAAAATCTATGGAAAATCCATGAAATATCCATGAAATATAGTGAAATGAACTGTTTTAGGGATGCCTAGTTTTGACACACCCAGCTGTAACAAGAGGGGAACATCAACCATGAGTTGATATTGGCTGTTTGTCAGGATTCCAATATATTCCAATGAATGAATTGACCCGTGTGATATTCTTATGGGTGTGTCTGAAAATAGTGTACCCCTAAACCCAATGGTTAATGATCATTATCCCTATTAAATGGCTATAATTGGGAATATACCCTATTTTCAGACAAACCCATATCCCTAGAAATCAATGAATGTCACTTCCACTCACGGCTTCACGGGGCATCATCAATTCACCGAGGTTTCAACGTTCCAGGCTATGGCACTTTGGCACCACAGGCGACTATCTCAACGTCAATACTCAGGGATGAACTGTTTAGAAGTTGAGAATCGCATGATCAACACACATGTTTAAGCTGTTTAACCATGTTTTCTTGTGTTTAGAAAGTACTATATACATCTATATATATATACCACAAACTTGATAAAGGATGCATACCATATTCTGCGCCGCTGTGTGATGCACGACAGAATATCTTTGGAGATGCAGCTGCACATCCACAGTTCGAGGCGATGGGCAAGCAGCCGCAATCGCGAATGCCGTGGTCATCACCATTGTTCACTCGGTAAATGGACACTTCCTTTGGATCAGAGGGAAAAAGCATGCATGGGCGCGGAAGATATGGAGGAAAATTGAAAAGCAACAAAAGCATGCAAGTGCAATAAAGGACTGTCTTGATTTGGACGATTGAGTTCTTGCAATTATTAATTTATTCTTGGTGTAAGTACGAGTACACATCATTCACTATGGCAGAAAGAAAGAAGCATTGTCGCACTTACCTGACAATGGATATCTCAAAGACGAGGTCCTCAGAAGAGTTTGCACAGACAATTTTTCTGCGCCGGGGCGGCCGGGCAGCGAAATATTTTACAGTTATATAGTTCGTGTTACACGTGAGCCCATGTATTTGATTGGAATCTGGCAGGACCACCACTTTAAAAACTTCCAAGATGAGCAGTCATTTGTTGTTGCAGGTATGCAAGCAATACATGAGCCTTATATTATATTATATTGTATTGTATTATATTATATTATACTATACTCTATTCTATTCTATTCTATTATATTATATTATATTATATTATACTCTATTCTATTCTATTATATTATATTATATTATATTATATTATATTATACTACCATTATATTATACTACCATTATATTATATTATATTATATTATATTATATCATATTATATTATATTATATTATATTATATCATATTATATTATATTATATTATATTAATTATATTATATTATATTATATTATATTATTATAGTATATTATTATAGTATATTGTATTATATCATATTATATATATATGTGGTGATCGATCTAAAGGTCCTTGTAAGGAGTTTTTTTTTCGAGTTCGCGAAAGTAACATTTTTCGCGGAAGTTTCGCGAAAGTTGGACATTACAATCATTATGTGAAGGGCTGCCACCCACTGCCGCCCGGGGTCCGGCAGGAGAAGGGCACTAGAGAATTTCGGTTTGGTTCTGGTTCAGTTCCCTGTGTGGTGGTGCTTGTGGACAATCACGCTCTTCATAGGTAGCAGCCGAGCTTCCAAAGGCGAGGCTTCGTGACAGCCAAACGCCATGGTCCTGAAGCACATCCTTGCACCTGCCGCTGTCACTGCCTAATGATGCTGTTTGAAGTCTCAAGAAGCAAGCTCCCAATGCAGCAGCCAAGTTTCCAAAAGTGAAGCTTTGCGAGAGCCAAACACCAAGGCCCTTGGT